CTTGGAGGGGTTAATCATTTCCCCAAGGTTACTCAATTAAAACACAGTATAGTCAGGATTTACCCAAACTTGTGAACCTAGAGTCATTTTCGTTTAATAATTTAATGTTGTTATAACATACTTTAACAGTTGAAATTTAAATTTAATATGTAAAACAAATTTTTTCTTAAAACTCCAATGTTACAATGTTATAATACATTTAAATAATGACTCAAAACTTCTCATCTCTTTTATGGAAAATTTTCTAGGTGATTTATTCAAACTCAGTGAAAGACGTAAAAGCTAAAAGATGCCTTTACTTTCATTTGTAAACGTCATACTCTTCTTTTCAGATCTCTAGAGTTTGTTAGGTGATGGGTAGCCATAAATGAATTTAAAAATCGAAAAGCCACAAAAAGATTTATTCCCTAGCAAGGCAAATGCCACAACAATGTCTTAGTATCCATCAAGACATGTTCACAAAGAAAGCAAGCCTGTAACATATCCTGGCAGAGTGCTGCTGCTGCCACCTACCCAAGATATTAATTCCAGTTCTACATTCCATGCCAATGCAAATTAGAATCTGGCCACTGGTGGAAATGTACCCACTCAGGAGTACTAAAAGGGTTAGGAAGAATGGATTCCAGCAAATCCTAAACATCTGTTCTTGAATATGATATGTCCTACTATTTAACTTCCCTGCAATCAGGTACTAGCTACAGATGGAAGTTTCTGTGATGGCAATGACCATTTCAAGTGTGGTTAATTACTGGTATACCTATTGGTATCCCCACTCCTTCTCCCCCAAAAATACAGTCATTAGAAAAAAGAAGGGTGGCCAGGCGCAGAGGCTCATGCCTGTAATCCCAGCACCTTGGGAGGCTGAGGCTGGTGGATCACCTGAGGTCAGGAGTTCGAGACCAGCCTGGCCAACATGACGAAACCCTGTCTCTGCTAAAAATACAAAAATTAGCTGGGTGTGTGGTGGCAGGCACAGGTAATCCCAGCTACTCAGGAGGCTGACGCAGGAGAATCGCTTGAACCTGAGAGGCAGAGGTTGCAGTGAGCCAAGATCACGCCACTGCACTCCAGACTGGGCAACAAGAGCGAAACTCCATTTCCAAAAAAAAAAGAAGGGTTCTTTAAACCTTGCATCTACTCAGTTGCCTGATTACAAGTGAAAAGAAACATTCTGGATATGCTTTAAAGCTTCAGGCTGAAATAAGAGTCCAAAACGGCTTCTACATTTATGGTGAAAAATATGGTATTTTTCAATAAAATCTATAAATCTGTTGTTTTTGTTAGAGATGAATACTTAACAATAAAATCTATAAATCTGTTGTTTTTGTTAGAGATGAATACTTAACAAAGAAAACTACCAAGTTATAAAATGTAAAAATAAATACCCAGAAGTAGCCTTGAAGAAAGGGAAAGGCATTCCTTGTTTCTGGTTAAAACATTCCAAGATTGCTAGCACTGGGGGGCTGGGTGGGAGGCAGGTGGGGTGGGGGGATGGCTCACACCTGTAATCCTAGCACTTTGGGTGGCCAAGGTGGACAGATGGTTTGAAGTCAGGAGTTCAAGACCAGCTTGGCCAACATGGCAAAACCCCATCTCTACTAAAAATACAAAAAAAGCCGGGCGTGGTGGCACACGCCTGTAATCCCAGTTACTCGAGAGGTTGAGGCACAAGAATCGTTTGAACCCAGGAGGCGGAAGCTGCAGTGAGCCAAGATTGTGCCACTGTACTTCAGCCTGGGTGACAGAGTGAGACTCTGTCTCAAAAAAGGTTTTTCTCTGTAGCATGTGATGCTCGATAGGATTTTACCTACAGTAGACTTCCTTCTTTTGAGTCTCGCTCTGTCGCCCAGGCTGGAGTGCAGTGGCGTGATCTGGCTCACTGCAACCTCTGCCTCCCGAGTTCCACACCATTCTCCTGCCTCAGCCTCCCGAGTAGCTGGGACTACAAGCACCCACCACCACGCCCAGCTAACGTTTTGTATTTTTAGTAGAGACAGGGTTTCACCATGTTAGCCAGGATGGTCTCGATCTCCTGACCTCATGATTCGCCCACCTCCGCCTCCCAAAGTGCTGGGATTACAGGAGTGAGCCACCGCACCGGCCAGTAGACTTCTTTCAAAAACAGGGACAACCCTCTCAAACCCTGCCACTGCTTTGCCAACTAAGTTTATATCATATTCCAAATCCTTCATTGCCATCTCAACAGTGTTCACAGCATCTTCACCCAGAGTAGATTCCATCTCAAGAATCCACTTTCTTTGCTCATCCATAAGAATCAACTACTCACCCATCCAAGTTTTACCATGAGATTGCAGCAATTCAGTCAGTCATATCTTCAGGGCCCACCCTCATTGTAGTTTTCTTGCATATTATATCCACCATATTTGCAGTTACTTCTGCCACTGAAGTCGTAAACCCTTCAAAGTTATCCACGACTGTTGGAATCAACTTCTTCTAAACTCCTATTAATGTTTATATTTTGACCTCCTCCTATCAATTACAATTGTTACTGGCATCTAGAATGGAGAATACTTTCCAGAAGGTTTTCGATTGCCTACTCAGATCCATCAGAGGAATCATTATCTATGGGAAGTATAGCCTTAGGTGATGTTATTTCTTAATAATAAAATGTGAAAGTCAAAATGTCTCCTTGATCCATAGGTTCCAGAATGGATGTTGTGTCAGCAGTCATGTAAACAATATGCACCTCCTTGTACATCCCCATCAGAGCTCTTGGATGATGAGGAGCATTATCAATGAGCAGTTTTTGAAAGGAATCCTTTTTCCTAAGCAGTAGGTCTCAACAGCGAGCTTAAAATATTCAGTAAACCATGCTGTAAACAGAGGTGCTGTCATTTAGGCTTTGTTGTTCTATTTACGGAGCACAGGCAGAGCAGATTTAGCATAATGCTTAAGGGGTCTGGGATTTTTGGAATGGTAAATGAGGACTGGCTTCAAGTTACTAGCTGCATTCGTCACTAATGAGAGAGTCAGCCTGTCCCTTGAAGCTTCTAGCTATGAAAGTCCTAGATAGCATCTTCTTCCAATAGAAAGCTGTCTTACCTACATTGAAAATCTGTTGTTTAACGTAGCAGTCTTCATCAGTAATCTTAGCTAGACTTGGATAACTTGCTGCAGCTTCTACATCAGCACTTGCTGCTTTACTTGCACTTTTATGTTATGGTGAAGAATTTTTTCCAGCTTCCTCACCTCTCAGTCTTCACAAAATTGAAGAGAGTTAGGGCCCTGCTCTGGATGAGGCTTTGGCTTAAAGGAATGTTGTTGGTGATTTGATCTTCTATCTAGGCCACTAAGACTTTCTCCACGGTATCAGCAGGAAAGCAGTAAGGCTATTGTTTTCTTTTTTTTTTTTTTTTTTTTGAGACGAAGTCTCGCTGTGCCGCCCAGGCTGGAGTACAGTGGCCGGATCTCAGCTCATTGCAAGCTCCGCCTCCCGGTTTACGCCACTCTCCTGCCTCAGCCTCCCGAGTAGCTGGGACTACAGGCGCTCCCCACCTCGCCCGGCTAGTTTTTTGTATTTTTAGTAGAGACGGGGTTTCACCGTGTTAGCCAGGATGGTCTCGATCTCCTGACC